CAATCATGTACTGGGATCTGAGGGGACAGGATAGAAATATGGCARATATTCATGAGGAAGTGTGTAGACAAAGCCAAGATCTGAGAAACCCAAGGAGGGCACCAGATGTGCATCTGGGGCAACCAACAGCAGCCTGARAGCAGCAGTGTCTAAGGGCAGAAGGAACAGGAAATGAAGTTCAGAAAGACCCCAAGGGAAGTTTTTCTCTTAATGATTTTCTTGGGATCAACCCTGAAAATAACCTCCAGCAGTAGATGAAGGTCTGGAAAATGTATCTTTAAGTGTATGTGAAGATTTATTTTTATACCTTAATGAAAGTTTTTCACTGAGTGGCCTATATTTTCATCTAATTAACGTTTGAACAACAGAAACCTCAAATAGTAAGCACATTTTAGAAATACACAAAGAGAAGAAATACTCATGATAATGACCTTTGAAATTATAATATAAGACCTTGAAGTACCTTAAGAATTACAAAGAAATATTAGAATATTATTATTATAGTTTTAAGAATAAGCTTATTTTACTGTATCTCAACATTTATAAATTGACAGTCTCTTACTTTTTTAAAAATTCGATAAATATCCATTGAGTCTCCATTCTTCCAGTTACTATGCTAAGCCACCAGAATATAGTAATACTTAAGACAGACACTCCCTGTTCTGATAGAGCTTTAAGTAAAATGGGGACAATAAACATGTATACACAGACAAAATAAACTGTGAACTAGGGAATAATGAGGCAAAGACATTTCTTGGTCAGATAAGGATTGGCTCTTCCATTTGGTAACATTTAAATTGAAAAATGAAGGATGAATAGGACCCAAATGTTCCATGGTGAGGAAATAGCATTCACAATAACCTTGAGGTTGAAAAGAGCCTGAAGATTTGAGGAACTGAGATCAGAGAAGAGAATGGTATCACATGATGCTGGAGAGGTAGGTAGGAGTCTAATTATTCAGGGCTCCTGGGTCATAGAAAGGTTTTTAAATCACATTCACTGTGCAATGGGAAACCATTACAGAGTTGGAAGCACAGAATGACATGATCCAACTTTCACTTAAAGAAAAGTTCATTGGTATGTAAAGAATGAATTTGGTCAACAGTCAATAATGGTGGGGGGAACCAGTTAGGAAGATTTTGAGGGGTACAGACCAATCTGATCTAAACTAGGGTGGTAGCAGAGGAAATGCAAGCAATGGATGGATTTAATATGTGTTTGGGGTTATGCTGACTTGACTTGTTGGTTTTAATGTGGGAGATGGAGATAAGGAAAAAAGAAAAATCAATGTAATGCTTGGGTTCTGGTTTGAGCATTTTAATGAATTGTAATTATTGATATTATAAAGAACATGAAAGGAGCAAGTTGTGATTGGGAATCAACAGTATAACCTGAATTATTAGGTTATGGAAATCCACGGGGCATCCTAAAAGAGACAATTGAATAGGCAGCTAAATACATAGTTTGGACTTTACAGAAGAGGTCTAGACTAGAGATGTGCATTTTAGATTCATCATCTTACAAATACCATTTAATGTCAAAAGAAAGGTGAATTGCCTAGAGAGATATTATAAAGAGAGAGGAAAGAAGAGCCCACAGATCCAATATTAAGTAATCAGATAGAAAAAAAGGTCTGAGAAGGGAATTTAGAAGGGAATACCAGACATTATGAGGTAAGGGAGCCCATTAGGAGCAAGGGCTTGCTGGAGGGAATGGTCAGCTATTGGAAAGATACTAATAATTGAGTTGTAAGAGAGAAGGAAGGATTTTCCTATCGAGTTCTTGTTGAACCAGTGAGAGACATGTCAATGGAATGGTGAAATGAAAATTCTTTAGTAGCTAGAAAATATGGTCAATGAACCATAAAATCTTATACTTCAAACACTCTGGATAAATTTGAAGCTAAGTGCTACCATCCTCTAAGTGGCTCAAAAAAATTGGAGACGTCAAAATTGAATTTGCATGCTACAGCTTTATAGCTCTCTGGTTCTTGGGTGCTGTAATAGGAGCCAAAGCTTCAATGAACACAAATTTCTGCAATGCTTTGGTACTTCTCTATTTTTAAAATATCAAATCAACTTTAATCTGAAGAGACAAGTTTAACTATAAATTTCAACTGAATGTTTATTAGTATGTGTAGAAAACAATTGTAATTGCAGGTAACTTTAGAACACTTAGTTTGTTCAAGGCGACATACTATGCAATTTCCGTACATTACATGACTTACTCGTTGTACTCCAGTTGCAGACAAATAAACTTAGACTTAGAAAAGTTCTATAACTCACTCAAAAGTATTACTCAGAAATGGCAGAACCCAAACATGAAACCAYGATTTTGCATTTGTGTGTTGGTGTATGTGCACTACTGGGAATTGACTCAGTGGTAGTGGTACTCTATACTGAGCTAGGTTCCCAGTCCTTTTCATATTTTAAATTTTGAAACAGGCCTTGAACTTCTGATACTCATACTTGTGTGTCTTAGATCACTGTGATTACATAAGTAGGCCACCATTCCCAGCTGAAATCATGATTTTTTAACCACTATGTTTTATTGCTAATTTATTGGCCAATAGAAATCACTTCAGTTAAAAACATGACACAGGTCTCTCTGGAAAGTAAATCACTATTTGATAGCTCATTTATTTGAAATAGAATTATTTTTTAACAGTTACTAACTGACATGAAATAATAAGGTAAGTTTGCAGTCATATGAGGATTGGGACTATAACTAGATGAGGAAATTAAAGAAAAAGGATAAAACCAGCTGTTTGATATTTAGAACCACAGTTTTAATATTCCAATTGCTGCTGCTTCTAGCTTTTCATCCAGAAATATCTAAAATCCTGAATTAATTTTAAAATGCTGATCCTAGGGCATTTGGCACATGTAGAATACATCAAAAATGGTGGCTTTGTGTTTTTTTTTTTATAGAGAGAGTCTGTTAACAGAATTTAGACATTTGTATGATGAATTCTTTTATATTTTATTCTTCATTAAATTTTGAATGATGGCAAATAAGTAGAATAACATTTATTTGCATATTTAGAACTCTTGAATGGCTATTCTAGTAATACCGCAATTGTCAAATACACTGAGGGAGTCATTATATTGTAATTGCCATTTATTTCCATTTTCCACTAGAGGGATTTTATTTACTAAATCTTTTATTGTAATACTTTTAGAGTAGGAATGTAATTCAGAAAAACTATTTAGGATATAACACATTATTATTTTAACTCGTGATTGAACCCAGGGGTGCTTTGCAACTAAGCTACATCCTATGCTTTTATTTATTTATTTATTTATTTATTTTTTTAATTTTGAGACAGGGTCTAGCTAAGTTTTGGAGAGTTTCCCTAAGTTACTGAGGCTATCCTTGAATTTGAGATCATCCTGCTTTCTGAATCACTGGGGTTGCAGGCACGTGTTATTTTGCCTGATCACAATGTATTAATGTTAAATATGATGTCAATGGCAGACTCAGGCAAAGTAGGCATTRCATATATCCATTTTTCTCTATAAATGGAGTTAAAGAATACTTTTCACATGTACAGTAGTCACTCTAGTAGTAATTATTCAACCTAGTTGACAATATAATTGTTTATAGAAAGTACAGTTTCAATTAAGCCAAAATATGTAAAACTAATATTCAGAAGAAAAAAAGAATTATAAATAATAGTAATATATTTAAAATGTGAATCATTTATATGACACCAAAGGATAGGCATTAAGAGAAAAACAAATGAACTACATCAAAATAACATCTCTGTATATCAAGGGACACAATCAACAGAGTGAAAAGGAAACCCACAGAATGGGAGGAAATATTTACAAATCATAAAATTTTAAGTGGTTAAAACCCAGAATACATAAGATTAACTTCAACTTAACACAAATAAATAACTGGATTAAAAAAATTGGGAAAGGATTTGATTAGACATTTTTCCAAGGAAGATATACAAATGACCAAAAAGATGTTGAACATCATTAACAATAGGGAGATGTAAATAAAAATCACTAGTACATCTTAAACCCACTAGTACAGTATCTGTCAAAAAGAAGGAAGGGTTATAGAGAAACCGTAACCCTTGTACATTGTTGGGGGGAATATAAAATTATCAGCTGTAATGTAAAACAGAATGGTGATTCCTCAGAAAATTTAAAAAAGAATTACCATGTGATTCAGCAATTTCACATCTGGGTACATAGCCCAAATAACTGAAAGTAGGGACTCAAACACAGATTTTTACTTTCATGTTCACAGCAGATAATTCACACTTAAAGATGTGAACAACCCAAATGTCCAATGGCTAATGGATAAATAACGTGTTGTATTTGCATAAAACAGAGTATCACTGCCTACAAAAAAAGAAAGAAGAAAATCTGACACATACTACAACATGGATGAACTTTTAGAACAGTACACTGAATGAAATAAAGTCACAAAAAGACAAAGACTGCATGATTCTCTTTATATGAGGTACCTAAAACAGTCAAATTCATAGAGGCAGAAAGAATGATAGTAGGGAGGGGGGAATGAGAAACTGTCATTTAATTGATATAGAGTTTTAGTTTTGTTAAAATCAAAAGAGTTGCRAAGATGGATGATAGTTGTGGTTACAGAGCAATGTGAATGTACTTAATTCCCCTGAATTAAAAATGGCTAAGAATATAAATTTTATGTGCATCTTATATAATTTTTTAAAATAACAAAAATATAAATCATTGTAAGTGGTGAAAATTTAAAAATCTTTTAATTTAAAAGAAGAGAATTTGTATCAAATTGATATATAACTACAAACTAACTTGAAAATATTTTCCAAGCTCTTTCATTAGAGATTAGATATGTATTGATATATATAATTACATATATATTTATATATGCTCTTGTATAATTATATACAGTGTAAAAATCTATTTTCTCTTTGGTGATGTTGATTTTCTGGATATGATGAAGCATAATATAATAAACTCAATTTAAAAWTTTTTTTTTCATTACAGAACTGTGGCCCCTTGTTCACATGGTTTCAAGACACAATGAGGYGCACTGGCTCTTGGAAGCTTTGGCCTTGGGTGGCAGTGTTCCTGCTTCCTGCTTCTACTTCCGTGACRGTTAGGGACAAGCCAGGTATCCAAGGGATCTCTTTGTCCAATTGCCAAATGTTATTTATAGTCAGTCAACCATTTAAAAAAATCATTAAAACAAATCTTGTTAAGGTTAAAGCAGCTATAGATTAGATCTACTAGTATACAATAAATACAAATTTGTTGTTTTCCACCACTGTCCTTCACAWAATTCTCATTATCTCATTTTAAAATATGCAAATTGTGCATAGAACTAAACCTTTCCTCTCTCTCACTGATATTTACAGATATAAATATATGCATGTATGTCTGTATGGGCATAGATATGATAATGTCTCTCCTTTTTCCCTTTAAGAGTTACTATTTCAAGTTACAAGTACAGAAACTCATCACTAATTAGGATTAAAGAGGACATGTTCTAATCTCAATTGGGGAATGTAAAAATAGAATAGGAAATTTAAAATAAAATGTAGTTTAATTACATGTCAATTTTAAAGTATCTCAGAGGAGGAAAACAAAAGTTGACAGATCTTCAGAGTATCTTTTGAACTAAATAGACAATATTTATTTGCAATTGTTAAATTTATGGGTCTTCTCATAAAATATTTCCAAAGGGCTTAGAAGGCAATTTGAAACATTGAAACATTTACTTCTATCTCTGCCTAATTTGGAAGACTTTTCTTGAACATTGAGTACATATAAATTACTGTGCTAGATGTACTTCATATTACAAAGTAGAATCAGACACATTGGAGTTCACTAAGGAAAGGGAAACATAGCCCCTCCTTCCATGCAAAGGATCACACAGCATGTTTTCTTATGATGAGCACATGTGGTGATGTGCCMTGAGTCTTACTGTATTTATTCTTTTCAATATTTATTCAATAATTTTTGCTAAACAGGAATAAAGTTACTTTAATAGAGACTTTTGAGTTTAAGGCACACATAAAATAAAAACAACCACTTGTAAAGATATAACAAATCTAATTTTTCAGGGTTTTATGGAAGTCCTTATGATGTTTCATTAATTTAGCAGAGGTACGTTTCCTAAAATAGTCCATGTGAGAGTTTGGATATTATATTACTATATATTAAATGATATCACAAGGCTGTCATATAATCTTGGGGGAAAATTCTTTCTTCAGTGAGAAATAAATGAGAAGTGACTCATAGCAACTATAGGCATGCTCAAAAAGAAAAACAAAAAGATACATAGGACTGGGAGTATATTCTGATAATATTACTGCTCTTATAAATTTACCTGTCTTTAACGAACACTAAGTAAGGCGCTTTGCAATTTAATCAAGGAGGGTAGGATTTTAGTTAGAAAGGATAATGGTTCTTTTGTTGACAGGACAGTTTTTTGAACACATGCTAGTTTGTGATAAAGTTTCTTTTTTTTTTGAACAACAAATTTAATAAACTTGGTCTAATGAACACATTCCAATTTTGCAAAGGAAATTTTTTATACCTTTATTTATTTATTTTTATGTGGTGCTAAGGATCGAACCCAGTGCCTCATACGTGCTAGGCAAAATGGCCTACTACTGAGCCACAATCCCAACCCCAGAAGAGACATTCTTTTCAAACATTATGATACATTTTACAATTCTCAATTGTATGTTTCCTCACCTGTGATAAAGTTTCTTGATAATAGTGATTTGAAAGGCCTACATAAATTGTTCTAGATCAAGCAAGAATCACCAAAAATATTGACTCCTGAGTTCTATTCATAGATTCCCTTTGTGCAGGTTCAAGTAGGGTGGGATTTGGTAATTTATGTCTTTAATAAGTTCCCTAGGTGAATTTAATGCATGATTTCTAGGGAAAACACTTGCCTTTGAAAAAATGTACTGAAATTTCATTTTTCTTTTTGCTTCTCTTCTCCATTGATTATCTTGTATTTTATGCAGCCAGGTTCCTTTTATCTTGCATTTCATTTTATCTTTTGTTATTTTAATTTTTTTGCCWTTAGTAAGTCTTATTTTTTAATGTAGGAAGAATGCTTAACATGATGTCTACAATATGATTTTAGAACAGACTTTTAATGTACAAGATAGTATTATGGATCATAAGCACAATGTTTACAGCATRTCTCTAGAACCTAGTCATCTTATGTAGCCTGACTTCACTATTTTGGGATACCACTGAATGTTTTGCTTTTGCTATAGTATCTCAATTCTTTAATCAAGTTATATTGTAGATAGGTCTACCAAAATGCATATATTCTGGTCCAATTTACTTTACTTAATTAATATATTCAAAAGATTTCCCTAAGAACATGAATTCAAAATTAACCTGAATTCTAACAAGATTCATAGAACATGTATCACTAAAGGAAATTAATAAAGAAAAAACTTAAGTCAGTTTTTACCAAGCCATTTTGGTAGAAGATGTTCATGAAGCAATACATGTTGAATGTGCCATGGAAATTGCTTCATTTCTRGAATCATTTGCCTTAATTGAAAATGCCAGTATAGTACCGTCAAAGGGATTATTGAAGAATAAGACAGGCTGAGCCTGGCAGAGGCCTCTTCTTGTGTCTTGTGTCTTGTGTATCTGATTCACGATGCAAGGTTCCCGTTTTAGTTTCCTCATGTGCAGACCTGTGCGTGTGGTCACTAACCATTTACCGGAGGGAAGTGATYACATCTAAAAATAAAATATAACAAACCTGAGAGGAAGGCTAGGGTTTCAGCTCTGGAGTCTGTGAAGTTGTCAACAGTTTACTGTTAAATCTAAATATATGAAGGATAAATTGAGTCTTTTCATTGCTCTACTTTAGTTCTATATAGGATGTTTAATGATTACTTGGAATATCGTCCAAGGTGGGACAGAATTCAAGAGTAATGGGAGATTCAATAACAGATTTTAGAAACTCAAATGTATTAAGAATTTAGTCATTTCATCTTCATTTATCAATTTTACTATTATGGTGATGTTATAGGAAAAGTCGTATTTGTATGTTGTCATATTGCCAGTGAGCTTTAACTTGAATGTGATAGTTTCAGCTCAGTTAGCTGTGAAAGGAAGATGGGGGTAAAGACATGTATTAAATGTATTCAATGCTAGATAATCTTAACATTTGCTTTAATCAATTGCATTAAATTGTTTATTCTGTGATTAAAACCTATGTATCAAATGCTTAGTTTCTTCTATTTTCCTTAATTTGTTCTTACGAGTAAGCATTAAATTATGTATAGAATTGATAAGGGAAAAAAACAGAAAACCAGAGTAAAAAAAGAAAACAGGCTAAAGATGACAGAATGCCATATAAATAATAAAGTTTTAATTTAAAATTTCACATAAAATGTCAAGATAAATTATTATAAACATGGGACCAAAGCCACAAACAGAAACTCTATTAAGCTAGTTTCCTATTAATTATAAGAAAAAGATACTTTTATGAAACATAGCTTTTACTGATTGAGAAATACCTTAATCTTAAACTGAGAGCAAAAACATTGCTATCTTATAAAGAATGTTGCATTTTTAAGAAATCCTCTAGTGTTCAGTATGGCACCAAGTGGAACTCCTAATGTTAACAAATATCCTTTACAATTTCTAAATTTGGAAAGTGGAGGAAAGCTTCACAATAATTAGATAAATAAGATAGCTCCTAACCAGGTTTCTTCAACTCCTTTGAAGAAACAGATTTGGATTAAAGATAAGCAGTAAGTTACTTTTGGCAGTTTTTGTAATAAGGTAGCTGTGTTTCCATTTTTTTCTTTTTTGGTCCCTTTTTGATATTATCTTTGTTATATTCTAGATGCCCTTAGCTTATTTTTATTAACCAGTTTTTCTCCCAACCGAGAATATTAGAAATTGTTCTATCAGACCTACTGGCAAAGTATCAAGTGTGCAGGGGGGCTAAAGGCGACAATGAAATGAAGAAGCCTGTGTTCCCAATCTCCAACAAGTCTGTTTTAGCCTTTGAGAGCATGAAAAACATCTAACGGCTATTGTGTCTCCAGATATGAAAAGCAAACAGACAAATCAGTTCTATCTGTGATAAATGTTGCTTTTTACCTTCCCCAAGTGTAGTCATGATTTTTGTCACCAATAGGCAAGAAGACAATTTTCCTTGATCTGGGTTAGAGAAGATCGATAAATAAAATTTCTATGCAATGAGGCAGATTTTATTGGGATTTTACAGGTATACTTATTCCACATATATTATGTATATTCTTTCCTATGCATATTGACAAGAGGAGATAGCTGTTGTGATTGTGCAGGGGATAGTGCTCACCCCTGTTCTCTTCTTGTCTTATACTCTGCAGGATCTAACCCATGTCCATGTCTTTAAATGCTATTTATATGTCAGTCATTCCCAAATTTACTTCATAGCCTGGATTTCTCTTTTGAGTTCCATTCCMTTATTTTTTTCTTTCTGTCTTTTTGATAAAGAATTTTGAATTGACATATAATATTTGTACATATTTATGAGGTGTGGTGTGGTAACTCGATAGATGTACTGTCTGTAATGATCAAATTGGGTAACTGGTGTTTTTATATCCTTAAACATTAACTGTTTATTTCCATTGCAAATCTTTGAATGCCTACTTTCTAACATCTTATAAAATTTATAAAAATTTTTTAACTATACTCTCTCTACTGTGCTGTAAAACATTATAACTTGTTCCTCTTATTTAATAATATTTTGGTATCCATTATTCAACTTTCCCCTATTTTCTGGCCCCTTACCCTTCATAGCCTCTAGTGACCACTTCAATGAAAACAATTTTTTAAGCTTTAACATATGAGCATAAACATTCAGTACTTGTCTTTCTGTGCCTGGCTTATTTCACTTAACACAGTGTAGTCCAGTTCCTCCATGTTGCCACCAATGATAGGATTTCATGCTTCTTTATGGCTGAATAAGATTACATCTTTATAATTACACGATATTTTCTTTATGCATTCATCTGTCAATGGACTATTTGATTGTTTCCATATCTTGGGTAGTGAATAGTGCTACAGTTCACATGGGAGTACAGGTATCTCTATTATTATTATTATTATTATTATTATTATTATTATTAT